CTGCATCCACAAATAAATTCACACAAATAAATACGAATAAAGGAAAAAGCTCATCTTGATACATACTAAATAAAGACAACAAGTAAAACCAGCTTCAAGTGTCTATCGTCAATATATATCATTTATCTTGCAGGCCTGCAACATGTTTCTACATCACATCTGTAATAACTAACTTCAGCCACTTATCACTGAGCATATCTCACCATCAAACAGATACGGGTGGTCAACACACTTTCTCAGGTTCATCAAGATGTTCAGCAGCCGGGTCTTGCTGCCTTGTTCATTTCCAAACGCCTCTGAAAGCAGATTTTGAATTTATGATGACATATGCGCCACATAAACAGCCTTCTGATAGCGTATACAACAGCACATCGCAGTGCACAAGTCTCACCCAGATCCTTCGTCAGAACAGCTTTGTAGTATTTCTTCTGCAGAGCCGACATGCCATGATACACGACCAGCTCTGTCTTCTTGGGCAGATCGACGGCAACCTCTGACTTCACTCTACGAAGCAGGAAAGGCTCCAGGACGCTCTGGAGCTCAGCGGCTGTAAACAGAAGGAAGACAGACTTGCTATGACAGTGTTGATTAAACCAGTAATTTCTCCAGTTCTTTTGCCACGAGAGCACAGCACAACATACAAGTTAATTTTTATGATACTAATATATCAAATAAACATAATAATAATCTTTACTGTTCAAAATCAAAATAAACATCATAAGGCAACAAAATTAAACAGACAAGTCGTAAAATCATGAGAATTTAAAAGACAGATACAAGCAAAACATAGTGTAAAAAATCAAATCACTTCTAGAAGCATTAGAAACTTTACTAGAAGAAAGAAAAACAATCAAAAGGGAACAAAAACTCAAATAAATCCAGGAACAGCTCGCCCAATAAAACCATCTTTTAGGAAGAGATTCAACAGCCAACCTGATATTTCAAATTGTTAAACAGAATTTAAACACAAACACAAATAAATTTTGTTACATGGTACTTATGCCTCCTACCCAGAGCAGGTTGATTTTGTATTTTGGAGTAAGAGCTAACAAAGCTGTCCACGTCGTCTGCTGTAAAGATGCTGGGCTGAATGAAGCTCAGCAGGGAGTAGAGCTCCTGCAGGTTGTTCTGAATGGGAGTCCCAGTGAGCAGGACCCTGAAACCGACTGAGAACTACACAAGAAATACACAAAGAGGCAGAATTAACAGACAGAGGAAAAGGCAAAGAAGAGACATGATAATGGGAAACAAACCAAGTGCAGCTCAGTACCTCTGTCAAGGTTTTGTGTAACAGCGAGTTCTGATTCTTCAGCCTGTGAGCTTCGTCCACCACAAGCACCTTCCACCTCCACCTGAGGAGCGGCAGGAAGAAGTACTGATTACATAGAAACAAATGAAGCATCATTTTATTCATTACAACTTATAATATGCTAATGCAACATTTTCTTTCTTTAATGTCCCTTTAAGTTAATAAGCTAAACCTTAGTTCAAATCCCTGCTATAACTAAAACATTTAAAGCTATTGTGAAACCTTTGTAAGTCAAATCACGCTCACCGTTTCAAGAACGAAGCATCTTTGAGACACAGCTGGAAATGAGATCATTAAAAAAAAAAAAGAAACATGTCAGTTTCAACACAGATGAAAGTTTCATTATGTTTCCACTAAACAGGCACAGACCTCATATGTGGTGAGCAAGACGTTGAAGTCCTGCGTGTTCGTTTCTCTCTGAATCTCAGCTCGTCGGTCTTTGTCTCCTTTGTAGCAGAGCACAGTCAGAGAGGGAGCGAAGCTGTAAATAAGCCACACAGAGGTGAAGATATGAGATAAACAGTGAGCAGACAGCACTAAGAGCAGATGAGCAAATTAGATAAATAAAGTCAATGAATGTGATTGTACCATTCCAATTCTTTTCTCCAGTTCTCCATGACAGAGAGTGGACTCAACACCAAAAATGGACCTTCCTTCCCGAGAGCTCCTGACATGTACACCAGCAGAGAGATGGTCTAAGGGGACAGATCATAACATCTTGACTTACAGCTAATACAATGTGCAGACACCTTTTTGAAACTGGAATTAACACCTCCTTTGCCTTCAATTGCGCATGCATTAAAAATAACAACTTGTACAACTAATATGATGACTCACAGTAACAGAAACTACTGCAGATGCATGAGATATCAGGTAATCTGTAGTGGGTAGGATGTGCTTAAAATATGCTACTGGTATATAGTACAATCTGACACTTCTAAGGGGGAATTCCCTTTTCACAGCTGATATTGTGATATAAAAATAAACTCCTCGGTGCAACTGCTTTCATACATGATGGTTATCTTAGTTTGACAAGAGCAATATATTTTAGGATGATTTTGAAGATTAGTGCATCAGTATAAAAAAATGTTTAAAAAAAATAGAATCCTCCCAAAAAAAATTTAAAAAGCCCTTTGGAACTTTTCTCACTGGCTATAGGCATCCGAAGTACTTGACTTTCAGGCCTTTTAGGGGATGAGATCACATTTTTAGACACATAAATCCAGAGCATCACGTGTCAGATAGTCTGATACGATGTTTTAGACAACAAATAGTAAAGTTGTGGACATTCACGTGCCTGACTACAGTCCTAACTGACATGGCAGCCTCCTGAATGCAAATCAGCAGCTCATCTTTCTCTTCATCTGTGGTATCATGTAATATTAATTAAGTTTTATTTTAAGGAGGACCTTTACAGCCAGGGGTCAAAGGAGTGGCTGCGTAATGATCATGTGATCTGATAATTGTCCTTTAAGCCCCACCTGATGAGGGTGTGGATTAACTCAGTGGGTGAGAATATGTCTGCATTTTAACAGCTTAAAAACTTTTGTGCACAGCTAGTTAAATTCAACCCTTTTCCAACCATAAAAACAGAAATGAGTTTTATTGCTTTTCATTTTTGTTGCATGCTGCTCTTATATTTTGCTGAGCTGTTTTCATTAATCACTAAGAACTGAGGGGTCACACACCTGACAGGTCTTTCCCAAACCCATCTCATCGCCCAGGATGCATCCCTGCTGGTTGTTCAGACACTGAGCCAACCACTGCACACCGTCCAGTTGGTAGGGTCTCAGCTGGATCCCTGTGAGGAGGTTAAGAGCTTAGTACTGCTGGGACTCGTTCATAGGAAACGTCAGTATTATATGATCATAATTATGTAAATAAAAACTAGCAGGAGAGCCATTAATTATTTTTCTGAGTACAAAACTAAGACGACGGTAAAACTCGGTTGTTTTAAAACACCGTTTAACAGTAGCTAACTACCGCAGGTGACTCCATTAAACAATGAATGAGTGAACTTTGTGACTACTTTGTGACTCCACTGAGTTAAAAAGCCTTCGTACCTTTTAATCCCCACTTTTGCAGGTCGCTCTGAACAACAGGCGTTTTCTTCTTCTCTGCGACGCTGGTTTTTATTTTTGCTAAAATGTCTGTCATCTTTCCAAAGCAGCAGGACTAAAACAAACGCAAAGTTCGCTTTAAATCAGCGCAGACATGTACAGACTAGTGAGAGTTCCCTCGGTGCTGCTACTTCCTGGTTGGGTCACATGACGCTGAGGAAAGACGCGCGGATTTAGTGGGGCTTAAAAATAACGATAAAAACATTTGAAAATTTTAATATTAAAATTATTTAAATGAAATGTGTGTACTTAAAAAGTTTGTTTAAATAAATTTCTGATTCTTTAATATTTATTAAAAGATAAATTAAAACATACAGGACAGCTTAACATTTAAGAACTGGGGAGTGACTTTTAAAGTCAGTGAAAGTCACATATTTGCATTCACACTCATTCTACCAAAAATGTTTCACGTACAAGAGTCCTTGGGGGACCCCAAGAATAACCACCTGATTACTGATTTAAGACCAAACTATTTGTGTTTCACATGAATATCATTCCGATGATAGAGTAATCTAATAGCAGAAGACTCTCTTATAGTAATATACACACTACATGTATGGTGTACTATACATACTATATACATATATATATACACAACTTAAAGCAAAGTTGTAAAACAAAAAATAAAATACATGAAAAACCTAAATAAATGTTTGTTTGTTTGTTTTTTCCAAGCATATTGTATGTGCTGAAATTTGCATATTCTTACTGCATTTGTATTTATCCTTTCAGTGACAAAACTAATGAGGTTGTCATGTATTCTTTTACAAAACCTTTAAAACATTCATTTATTGCAGATATTTACACATATTACAAACAATGGCCACAATCATTAAAACTGTCTTAAACTGAAGTGATCAGTAGATTCAAAACCAGAAATCAATCAGCTCAATTAACAAGGCATAAACAAGTAAACATCTTTAGAGGTGAAAAGTGTCTTTGTCACCTACAAACAGGAGGGCTGTGCAGCAGGAAGAGTCACAGACTCTCTGCAGCAGAACCATATAGAGGCTGTTTCAGTAACTTCAGGAAGAGACCTGCCCCTTTTTCTAAAAAACACTTCATATAGCCTCAATCAAAGTTCACCACAAACTCAGGAATCATTTCAAGCAGACTGCCACCATCCGCATGATCGCCTCCCTGCAAAACAAATCACATGAATCAGACAGGCCTGGAATGATTCTTTGATACTGAACATTTCTGCAGATAATTTGAATAAACGGTGCAAAAATCACAAACCTCACACAGGGGATGTACGACAGACTGTACCTGCCGACAAAACACATTTTGTGTCACAATTAACAGCAATGTGCAAAATGATAATAAAGTTCAAGACAAACGGTAACTGACCAGGTAAATGACAAGACCTGCAAGATGACAAATAACAAAGCAAGTCCAAAGTTCTTCCACTGGAGGAAAAGAAAGTGTTGTTATTAAAGCTGGAACTTAATCTATTCTACAAATTTGGCACAACTACAGAAATAAAGTCAGCAGTAATCATTACTCACCCAGAAGGCTGCACAGAGAGTCAACACGAGACATGTCTGAAACAAATGATGGGACAAACATAATCAACAGCACTGACTAAGAATGGACTCTGATTGATGGTTATCCATTATTTTCACCAAATAAAGGAAATCATGCTCAAAAAGGCCATATATTCTTTTATTCTGTTTTCTATATTCACAGTATCTTCAACTTGAGCTGTGATTAGGTGCCTGGATGTCATGTTTTTAACACGTTTAATTCCTCACACTGCTGCCTTTATTTTATGATCAACATCTTTGGCATCGTATGTTTTAAGAATGGATTATAGTTGCAGATGTTCATAGTAATGATGATGTTTTTTTTTCATTTTATTGTTTTTTTTTTTTTTTTTTTGTGGTGGTCTTGTTGCTTGGTTTTTTTTGTTTTTTTTTTTTTTTTTGTTTCTTTGTTGTGTTTTTTTATGGGATTTCTTTTTCACGGTTCACATTTAATTTTGGACAAAGTCAACATTTTATAATTTATTCTATAGAGTCTTGTTTAGTTTTTGTTTGTTTGCTGTTTTTTTGTCTCTCCATGACAATCATATCTTTATACTGTACTTTTTTTTTACCAGTTTCCTAGACATAGATTAAACCTAGTCCCAGATTACGAGAAAAAATGATAAAGACCTCCGCTGAGAAAAGTTTCTACTCTGGGATCACCCTCAATCCAAACAGATAATGAATGAATTTTAAACAGCATTCTTGTGAGTACATTTACTTTTAACCAGTTTTAGTCACCATTTTTATGATAAAGGTAACACAAACACCAGCGTTTGTCTTGAATTATATGAAATTGTATAAAATTCCCATTGTAATATCTTTCATTAATCTGTCACTCAATACAGTTCACAAATACTTTTGATTTTGTTTTATGTATTTTTTTGTTTACATACGTGAGTACGCGACACAACCTGTGTGAATAATATATACATTTTTGCACACTATAAATATTTCTACAATTTTTTTAATCGCTTTTACAATTCCTTGGATTTGCTACACCTCCTGCTGATTAGACTTGTAACACTTGCGTTTTACAAAATCTTTTTATCCCTGTTAAAAAATATACATGTATATATATATATATATTCTGCATGTTAGTTTTTTCACATCAAATTCCCCATAGGTGAAAACTTAGTCAGCAGAAAAACTGATTGTAATTCTGAATGCGGAACACAAAATTCTCATTTTTTTCTTATCACAGCTTTCTCTTTAATGCTCTTTAATGTCCTTGGAAAAGTCTATGGACTGAAGGTGAATGACTCTCTGAAATATGTACTGTAAAATGACTTCTGAATGAGAAAATATGACTTTTTGTGCACTTACAATCATAATCGTGGTGGCCAGCGCTCTGGTTTTGTCACACATCCTTTTCAGCTGCTTCATTGGGCCCATCAGAAACATTGTGCTATTGGACAGAATAAAAAAATGTGGAAAAACTTATGAATGAAGGTCTTTTAAAAGTCTGTATTCAATGTGTATATACTGCTCACACCAAGTTTAAATATTACTCCTATAATAGAAAACATCAAATTGTCTAAACATGATTTTTCATTGAACTTTTTGCAGGGTGTTGCAGGCACTGACCTGCCCAGAGCACATATGTTTCCAAAAGTGTAAAATACGATGAAGAGCGTGAGACCGATCCTGGGGAGAAACAGCACACAAACTCCCTGCAAAACACACATGAAGGCAGGTGATTCTGAGTTTCCCAGACATGGATTAAATGTAGTTCTAGACTAAAAACTTCTTTCAGCCAAGATCTTTACTGAATTTCTCTGTAAGTCTAGGACTAAGCTTAATCCATGTCTGGGAAACTGTCTAATAATGTTTCAAGCTGCAGCTGGAACTTCAAGGCAGAACTAGTTGGTGTTGTCAAATGAATGAACATTACATCTTTTACATTCCTCAGAGCCAGAAGAACCAGTAAGGCCACATCACCTCTCCCTGCGCTCTTCCTTATTATGGAGCGCAACACAACATTCTTAAAGAAATTATTATAGATCTTTACCAAGACTGTGCAAGCGGCTCCCACAACGAAACATGCGACGAAGCCCTTCAAACGTGTCCCCCAGCCCAAAGTAGAGGCCTCATTCACAGTCTGAATGAGAGGAGTTAGAATAAATGATCAATAAATGGCCCAGCTGGGGTCACAGTTCAGGTAGAGAGTCAAAACTGGTGTGTAGTTTTACCTCTAAAATGGTTCTGTCATCTCTGCGCGCCTCCTCACCACTTAGAACCGATTTTAATTTATCCATCGCCGAAGATCCTTTAAAAGTCGCCTGAAGTGGAGAATAAATCTTTCTGTTTCCTGGACTGAGAGGAACTTTACCGGATTTCTCAGATCTGTGTGGATGGACAACAGTGTCACATGGCTGCAGTGAGGCGGTGACAGTGCCTCACCTGGCCAGGTAAGTGACTTCATTAGTCACACCTGAGCAGAGCAGCAGCAGCAGAGAGGTCTCACTCTGATCTTTTTTTCCTCAGCCACGTGAATCAGTCTTTCAGTTTACTTATATTTTATCTTAGATCAATCCCACATCGCATCAGGTTGTATTAATGTGTATATATTAAACTGTACTCAGACCGATTCTTTGTCATAATTTTTGATTTACAGAATAATTTTATGCCACAAACTTGTTTCAACTGTAAGGATTTGTTATTTTTCTTTTTTACAGTCTATTGTGATAATCAACTAAATATCTTTGGTTTTTAGAGTCTTAATCAGGTAAAATAACACATTTAATTGGCATTCTAACACCAAGATTTGCTTTTTTTTTTTTTTTTTACAATCTTGTGGTTATTAATCAAATATCTTTGGGTTTTGGACTGTTACTGACATAAAGCAACCCATTTATTTGACATTTTAACACTATTTTTAGAGGATTTTTTAGTTTTATGCTGTCTAATCACAGACTGTATATAAAGTCTAATGTGATAATTAAGTGAATGTCTTTGGTTTTTTGAACTGTTAATCTGATAAAACAAAACATCTACATGACATTTTAACACCAGTTTCTGTGACATCTTGCTGTTTTTGCTGTCTGGTGTGATGATTGATTATGTTGAGTGATTGATTACTTTGGTTTTTGGAGTCTTAATCAGATAAAACAACACATTTGATATTCTATCAGTGGTTTTTTTTGTGAGGATTTGTTGCTTTTCGCTGTCTTGTGTGATACTTAACTGATTGTTGTACTCATAAAGTAAATTTGTAAGAGCTTAAAGCAAACACTGTCTTACACAAACACAGACAGAACCATGTTTTTTTGGTTTTTTTTTAAATTATTTTTTTGGCCTTTGTGCCTTTACTTGATAGTTCAGTGAGAGAGAGACAGGAAAGTGGGGGAGAAGAATGGGAGGAGGACATGCGGGAAAGGGCCATGAGCGGGATTCGAACCCATGACCTCCACATCGGGACCGCAGCCCTGTACATGGGACGCCAGCTCAACCAGGTGAGCTATAGCGGCGCCCCAAGAACCATGTTTTTAAGCACAAAGTGAGCCTTCTTTAACATAGAAGATCTTTGCTCACGCCTGTTGGCAGTAGGTTTGTATTGTCCTGACCTGACAAAAATAAGTCTGCAGGAACTATTTATCGACCTTGGAACAGTAGTACTATCTCCTGCTGGAATAACAATGTGATTTAGAGCTAATTTGTAACTGATACATGAAGAGTAGGAAATGACAGATTGATTTTCAGCTTTATATCCTGAATTCTGTGCATAGTTCTAACTTTACAAGTGGCACAAAAGTATGACAAAGTTGCTAAACCAGTGGTGAAAAAGTAAAATAACTGTACTTAAGTACAGTTTTGAAGTACTTGTACTTTACTTGAGTATTTCCATTTGATGTTACTTTATTCTTTGACTCCACTACATTTGTCTGACAGCTTTAGTTACTTTTAGAGTGAACATTTTTCACAATGGATAATATACCAAGCGTTTAAAATACAGCACATTGTTAAAGATTCCATCCTCTTCTTGGCTTCTTACAGACAGCAGCATGTACTCCGGCTCACGTTTCAATTACTTTAAGTAATGATTTTTCCCTCTAAACTTCTCACGTGGTGTCATTTAAATAAATGTCCAAATGATTCAATATTTCACCAAAAAGGCAAGAAGTCCAAAAAGTGGAAACAGATTTGAGTATCAGAACTTTCTTTTTACTCTCATTATTAATGTAACAATAGCTCAGATTTATTTGCTGTCCCTGTATATAATAAAACTGTATTAAATTCCTGCATTGGTAATTTTATTTAAGTGTCTGAATACTACCGCTGCTATAAAATGTGATAGGTAACATATAATCAGTAACAATCGCAACTGTAGTAAATTTGATAAGAATATCAAATAGAAAACGTTGAACATTTAAACAATTTTAATAAAATTCTGATTATTTGGCATTTGGGTTTGACTCACACATGTGACTCAACCTCTGAACATACAAAACAAAAAAAAGCCATATGAAATATGTAAATACATACTTTCAAGTCATTTACGTTGATGATTGTTTTGTTTTGTTTTTTACCACAAGATGGCACTACTGAACACCAAAATCTCAAAAGAAGTTTGGCAAGTCAAATGGAAAGCATGCAATCCGTAGAAAAATCCTGTTCTGTTACACTGAATGTGCAAATTATTACCAAAAATATGACAGAGTACATGAAAAGTTGCTTTAAAATAAATAGCAGGTTAAAAGGGGTTTTACAGGTGATTAAATAAGGCAGAGGTAGAGATATGTTTCTATGTTAAAGCATCCAGAAACCATATGTCCATATCCCTTTACTGTCTGTGTGCCTTTGCTTCTGGTCGTGCTGCTGCTGGTGCTGCGGACATCACATCCCTGATTTAACTGTGACGTAAGGGCTGATCAAAGAGTTCAGATACTGTCTGTGGTATATTTGAGATTTCACTGTGGACCTCAAACATCACATTTTGTGTCAGTAGGCTGCTGAATGATCCAAACTTCACTTTAAGGATCATCAGTGTTTAAGAGAGGTGGGTCCGCGGCTACCAACCACAGAAGAAACAGCAGTTTTTAAAGTGGAAGAGATGCAGTCACCAAGACCAGAGATGGTGCATCAGGTCAGCATGCTTGTTGTTTTCTTCAATATTCATATGGTTGTGCACCATACACTGGGCATCTGATTGTCAAGGCAGAGTTGTACTGAAGCGTCCTGAGGGGTCTGACGGAGAACATTTGGTGCAAACAGCCTGAACTGTGGTGCGATGGCGAGTAATACCAGCACAGTGATTACACGCATGGGTTTTTTGGCTTCAACAACACATCATCATTTTTCACCCACTGTACTCACCAGATTTGGCTCCCTGTGATTCCTTCCTCTTCCCCAAAATGAAATTCAAGCTGAATTTTGACACGGTTTAGGAGATCATGCAGAAGGTGTTTAGCTACATAACAGGAGTCTTTGAATGTAACTACTTCAACCCAGATGGTGGTCAAAATCAAATCAGGTGTTTTTTAAAAAAAAAAAAACACAGTCTCTAAAACTTTTTGATCATCCCTCATATCCATAAGTAACTATGCACGCATACAAAGATGATCCTCTTCATAAAATCTCATCCTCTGACTCTGGATCTCGCTCTCTGGTCTTCAGAAGTCCCATCTCCATTGGAGGAGTCCTCTTCAACCTGGAGCGAACCACACTGAAGAAAAAAACACAACAAACACCAGAGTCTCACATAAACTGCGCTATAGGAGGTGCTCGAGTTGTTATGAACAGAGTGGATGAAACCTGTCAGGCTTCCAGGACAAACAAACAAGCAGCAGCTCATTGAGATGTCTAAAGTGGAGCAGTTCTCACCAGCTGACGGTGCAGTAGAGCACGCTCACGACGAGCATGGCGAAGGCAAGGTGCCAGGAATAACACATGGTGATGAACATCATGTTGTTGTGATCTTTCAGGTCCCACTCAGGACCGTGTGGAGGATACAGCACGAATCCAATCTGTGGTGAAAGAGAAGGTAATGTCAACGATTTATGTAAAGTACAAATATTATCATAAACTTCTGCAGGCATTCAGATTTACCTCCCAGAACCAGCTCCCCTGTAGCACGGTGAGAGTGCAGCGCAGCAGCTCCAGGATGATGTTGCCTCGGTGGAACACCTCCAGGAACGCCACGAGAGCCTCGCCAAAGACAGCATAGAGGAGGAGCTGGTGCACATGGACGTCCAGCATGCTCCTGCCATGGAGGTGGTAGAGGAAAAGAAATCCTGACAGAACAAGAGAAAGTAATTGATGGAGAAAAAAAAGTATAAAGTAAGTAAAACATGTTTTGACAAATGTACCGCTTTGTTTGTATCATCCAAAGTAACAGTGATGAATTCATGTGCACTTTGCTGAGTTAGCTGCCCTAATAAAAACATTTTACAACTGTAAAAATGATTCCCAATCAAAGATACCAGGGGGTTAATGGAAATATTGCAGAATGGCTGAAATATTTCTGAAAAAACAAAGTTTACCATAGTTTTGAAATTGTACATGTATACATTCATTCAGCTTAAACCTGCTCAAGACAAATTGCATTTGACTGTGTAAAAAAAAGGACAAATTAGCAGATATGTTACCTAGAAGTAGTGATTAATGACTGAAAATTGATTCATTTCAAGAGCTAAAACGTACTGGATAATGGTGGAAATAACTCCAGATAGCTAAACGAATTAATAAAGAGTGTAAATGGTTAGCTAAACCAGCAAGGAACTAGTCAGAATGGCTAGTAAAAGTAATGGATATAATATTAAATAGGTAGAGTTAGCTAAAAGTGATGGATAAAATGATAAAACGCTCCAAATGTTGAGGCCTCATTATTGTGTCCACTAAATGAAGTATCCATCTAAACTTTACTTATTTTACCTTCAATCCAACAAAACCAGTTTTTAAATAAATCTAGGCAAAGAATTATGCTGTCGAATCTTCACTCATAGGAAAGGCCTAATTAAAAAATTAGCTCCATTTTCTTTGTTTCAATCTTTTGGGGGTATTGTGTGTCTTAAAATAAAAGCTCGGGAATCACTGATGTCACTGAAAAATGTCTTTCCTCTTCCTACCTTCATTAAAGAAAGCAATAGCCAGCATCAGCCTGTCCAGTGCCGGCGGCGCTGCCTCTGTGGTGTGGATGATCAGAGAAACGGCACCAGCCAGGCCAAAGAACAGATACATGGTGGTGTGCTGCCAGTTCATCAGATCCTCCCAGTGCTTCTCTGCAAAGTCATACAACTGAAGCTTTGGTCCGTCTGCTGCAAACTGCTCTGCCAGCATCCCTGCAGAGCACAGCGGAGGAAACGCTCAGATCACCTTAATCAAAGTTCCTGTAAACGCCTGTTTGTTTAGTTGAAGTTAATGACTGACTCAGTGTGAGGTGTATTAATGCAGAAAACTCCTGCCAGCTGAGTGTAAAAACACAAGGAATACGGATACGCACTTACCAACAAAGGAGAAGAAGAGTATGATAGAGCTCTCAATGATCTCCAGGCGTCGCTGCGACGCTCTGCTGGACAGACGAGTGGAACCGATGTTCTTGTTCCTGCGGGTGGCGTGCCAGAGCGAGTACTTTCCTGTCCACCAGATCCCAGCTACGAGGAAGAAACTCCCAGGGAGAGCGTGGCCCTTGAAGCTGCCCATGACTGAAAACACCTGTAACGTAAGAGAAAACACATCTATGAGCAGGTATTTCTTAATAGTTTCATAACTTCAAGAGATAGAACTTGCTACCTAAATTTCTAAAAGAATTCTGTATTATATCAGCAAAGTGCGACCTTCAAATGCAGGTTGTTAATGCATGAAAACAGAGTTCACCTTATTTATAGTTTGGGAGATGTTTTTTATACAATACATAGAGAAACATTCTTAGTGAGGTTGGCAAAAGTGGAGAAGTAAAAAAACATGAAGGAAAAAGTGGAGGCGTGCCTGTAATTTAGGTAAACAGCATAATCAGACATAATTAGAGTGTGTGTTGGCGACGGCTCTTCAGCTGACCTTGGAAGAAGTGTGTCTAGAAGGTCTAGACGTTTGCACCTTTACATGCTAAAATAAAACCTGTTTCTAGGATCAGAATCAGTTTTAACACCCTGTAGGTTTTCACATATGAGGAATCTGACAGGTTGATGTGGTGCTTTACAAGAAAGGGAAGTTTTTTAAAGAAAGATAAAAGGATTGAAAAAGAGAGCAAGTGTGAAAAGACGAAGCAACAGAAGTGCTGAAGTGCAACAAATCCAAGGAATTTTAAGTAATAAAACTAATCTATATGTGCATAGGGCTGCTTTTTCATTTTGGGCTAAAATACAGATTATTTTCTGGATTATTGTTTAAATGGTGAAAATGTCAATCAGTTTTTCACAAAGCTGATGTCTTTAATGTCTTGTTTTGTCAACAACCCAAAGATAACATCTTTCAGTTTTTCAAGGATCTCACTCAATATAAGCATATTTTTACACACAGAGTGCAGAGAAATATTCACAAGTCGCTAAATTTTAAAGTACTTGTGTTTTACTTAAGTATTTCCCCTTTGTAACTCACATTGTATGAATTTATGTCATGTTCAAATTATTTTCCTTGTTTTTAAATCTGTCAGTTAATTAATCCATTAGTTTCTTGGCGTATAAAATGTCAGAAAATTGTGAAAGAAAGCACCAAAAACCTGTGCTTTCCCAAGCAAACATGACAAATGTCTTAGTTTATACAGTTTATGGAGAAATAAAGAAACCAGAAAATGGAAGCTGGAATGAACCTGGAATCAGAGAATTTTGGCTTCTTTTCTTTAAATAGTAAAGGTGACCCATTATCAAAATAGTTGACATGATGAGTTCTGTACAAAGAGGCTTACAGCATCATCGGACTTTTATTGCAGATTCTTTTTGGTAATGATTAGCCATAATTTCCGTGACAATTAATCCTGCACCCGATTTAACCTGATTTATGTGGGCTGCTGTCTGCCTTCATCTGCTGACTGCATTTACACGTTTATTCTCTCCAATAAAACACAAAGAGTGAATGACAAAAACAAAAAAACAGGGCACCATTTCAAAGTGCTATCTTTTATCCACTATGCACCTCCCTTACAGTTTCACTGGAAATGTGAATTGATTTTAAAGAGTTCAAAGAAGCTTTATGAACTTGTTTGACTTCAGCCCCATGAAGCAATGATTCATACTTTGTAAAGTCTGTGAGCAGAGCAGGAGTGGTATCAGCAGAGAATAAAGCTCATGCATGGCTGCGCTCTGCTTTGTGATGGAGATGACAGACAATATTCTGTCCAGCAACAAAGGGGAACCTTTTGATGAAGGAACCTCAATATAAGCAGACTGTTTGAGATGTTAAACTGAGCTCATCTGTGTCAGACGCCTCTCTAGACTGAGGTAAACACTTCAGTCGCTATGACAACACCTCCCTCCAACACGCCACTCGAGTGTCACTGGAGGACTCATCAGCGTTTGTCCGATTTACTCACAAAATCAACAACATCTGTGCTTGTCTTGTTTCCAGGTGCAACATTAACCACAATTGTTCAAGGGCTTCAGCCAGTAGAAGCATATTTTCATGACACCATGGAAACCATATTCACCCAAGTCTGTTATTGTTGAGGTACTTGTGTTTTACTTGAGTATTTTAAATTTGCATGTGCATTTTATTGCAGGAAATTATGTAGTGATTACTATTACTGTGCCATAAAAAAATTTACTTTTTAAATTAACCGTAATTTTATATATTTATTTGTTTTACTTTATTATTATTGTTTTATTTTATTATTAACAGTTGACTGACATCATACAGATGTTTTTATTAAATTATTGATAATAACTAGAAAAGCCTATAAAAAAGTATTAATTTACATGTTAAAAATAATTGTAAATAACATCCAGACCAAACACCTGTATGTTTTTTTTCCCTGTAAGTTTTTAAAAAATACACTATAAGTTACTTCATCCACTCACATACATCGATCCACATTTTTACAATTAGTCATTTGTTCTTTCACACTGTTTTATGGTGAAATTACTCTGGTTTACTGTATTTAAATCTATTAAAATATTAATATTTTGCAAATATTTGCTGTTATTTTCTCAGTTTTGACAGTTACAGCATTCCTTTTTTTTTGACATATTTTTTTCCTGGCACCAGATTTTTACTTTCAATTGTAATAGGATTTGTGCTATTATCATTATTATTATCATTATTATTTGTTTTTGTTTGTTTTTTACAATGTGACAGGTCAGATAGCTTTAGATAGGGCTGCAACTCACAATTATGTTCATTGATGATCAATCTGTGAATTTATTTTTTTGTTTTGTTTGGTGAAAAGTGTTTCCTAAGATGTCCAAGTCCAAGATGACAAATGTCTTGTTCTGTCTACAACCCAAAGATATTTACTTTACTATCATAGCGAAGCACAAAAAGCGGAAATATTCACATTCACACAAGCAATTGTTGCAGCTATTGCTCAGGTTAAGATTTTATACCAAGCATTAAAATAGATGCAACAGTACCTGAAGTCAGCATATGGATGGCAGAAGATTCTAGTTTTGATGATGAGGCTACTTTTTATAGACCCCAGCTGTTTGCTTTCCAAACAGATTTTTGTACTCAGGTTTTTTTTTTCTCAGCATAAACAAAGTCAGTGCAAAGCTTGACAAACGGACACACATTCATAAAAGCTAGCCTCTTTTCATGAGAAATCTGAAATTAAATTCCAAATTGGGTGTAGACAATCCTACATGAGAGTTTTCCTCTATAAGGACACTGTTGTGATCTTTTTTCTAAAGGCACTAAGTGTTTTAGAGGCAGGACTGCTGTAATTTAAGGGCCTGGCTGTAAATTACAGCCACTGTTCAGGACACAGCAGCCCAGAATTCCTTCAGTGTAAAAAAGAAAAAAGAGGGAGGCAGCCTTACCCGAGTTTGTTTGTCTCTGGAGATGAAAAGTTGCTGGAAGTATGTCCAGATGGAAGAATCAAAGCATCTTCATTGCTTCAGCACACTGATATTTGTTCCACCGGTAAAGAAGAAGGTTTTCTGCCGTGCCCTTCAGTAAACATCAGCTCTCTGCTCCTGTTTCCCAGCAGCTTCCAGATCCGTTTCACAACCTTTTTTTTTTCTCTCCCTCTCCCTAATTTTCCAACTCCAAACACTTCAGACTTTTACTCTCCAATCAGCTCTCCCATTGGCGGACCGAGGTGAGGTGGCGTCATCGCTCCGGGCTGAGATTGGCTGACGGGTGCGTCGGTCTCGTGTGTCCACGTGTGCACTTTCACTCCGCCTGCTCGTGCTCGGCTCTGTCCCTCCTCGCTCGTAGGAAACCGCTACTTTCCCTCCGTGCTGAGCCAAAGCAGGCCGGACTAGGCCAGACTGGGACAGGATCTCCGGCACGTACACAGCTGGAAGACGTCCTTATCTCCAGGAGGTTTACTCATTTAATTCAAACAGTCCTCAATGTGACTTACTGGGATGAAAGTAGAGTGTTGGCAGACTTTATGAGGCAAACAGCTAAAGTCAACACAAGTAGGCATCGTTTTAAAACAACAAGAAACACTTTGTTGGAAGAGAATGCACACCCTTCAGCTTTATGTTGGAGTTTAGTGCAGAGAAGTCCCTTTTACATCATGATCACCTTAATTTGGCTTAAAAAAATGTCTCTTCTATTTCTAAATGAAAACAGATTTTTTTTTTTTTTTTAACAATGTAATACTAATTAATTAAAAATCTAAAATGTAAAACAAGTGATTGCATAAGTATTCACCCCCTTTCAAGTGATTCACCAAATTCATTACAGGTGCAGTCAGTCAGTGCTAGAAGCCTCACAGTCAATGAAAAGGAGTTCATCTTACTGCAGTGATTGTAGTTTAAAGACACCTGCATCTGGAATCACTGGTGAATCAGTTCTCCTGATTATAGCAACACCATGAAGACAAAAGAACACTCCAAGCAACCCCATAAAAGGGTTCTAAAAACCACAAGCCAGGGGATGGATGCAAGAAATGTTTCATGTTACTAAATGTCCCCTGGAGTACAATAACTCCATCATTAAGAAATGGAAGCAATATAGCACATACATAAATCAGCCCTAGAGCAGGCCATCCTCAAAAGCTGAGTGACTGTACAAGAAGGAGACTAGTGAAAGAGGCCACCAAGATACCGATGACTCCTCTGAAAGAGTTATAAGCTCCAGTGGCTGAGATAGGGTAGACTGTGCATATAGCAGCTGTTGCCTGTTCTTCACCAGTTAAAGCTTTATGGGAGAGTGGCAGAAAACAGAAAGCCACTGTTGAAAGGAGCTCATATTGAATCTTTACTCCAAAAGTCATGTGGGAGACTCTGAAATCAACTGGAAGAACAGTGTTTGATCTGTTAAGACCAAAATTTGGCTTTCTGCCCATCAGACTAGACAGGATGTTTAGCAACACCAAACACTGCATCTCATCTCAAACGCATTGTCCACACTTTAAAGCATGGTGGTGGCAGCATCATGATGTGAGGATGCTACTCAGCAGCAGGGCTTGAAGGCTTGCAAAAGTAAAGGAAAAAATAAATATCAAGTATATGGAAATCCTGTAGCACAATCTGATGCAGTCAGCAAGAGAACTGTAACTTGGGAGAAGATTTATTTTTCAACAAGTCAGTGGCCGGAAGTACACAGCAGATTTTCAGTTTGTCTGATTTGAGAAAGGTCTGTGCTTCACTATTATGGGATTTGAATACATTTAAATACTTGGGGGTTTTTTCGGCCTTTTTGAAATGCTGGAATGTCAGGAGCTGTATAATGAAAGCACAATAAAACAAGATCATTTCTGTAAATATGTTAAGATGCAGACAAGTGTGTATTTCTTTAAAGCAAACCAAACCAAATTTAGCAAGGATGTGTCACATCAGTGTGTTTTTATTCAAGACCACAATAGTCACAGCAAAGCAGTGCTGTATGTTTGTTCTCAAAAAGACAGTGAACCTGAAGGTTGATGCTGCTCTGTTCATTGTATGTTAAACCCAGTGTTACTTCAACCTTTAGAGCAGCAGTTTTTTCAGTACAACACATTGAACATATAAGCTCCACGTTAAAGTTGTACTCAAACCAATAATCTTTATCTATTCTGCAGAGTGCAAACACTTTCATGTTGGTTCATCATAAATGAAAATCATTTAATAAATTAGCTGAGATCATAAACTTTTTCATATGAGTAACATGAAATACTCATAATGGAGAGACAACGATTAGTAACGAGAACTGAATCACATTCATATAATTGCATATTAAAATGAGTAAATATATAAATACTTTCAGTGCACACTGTAAACTTCTCCTTTGGCAGTGCAAAACACACAACACAAGAGAGGTGTTCCAAAGCTCAACAGTGCAGCAACAATTGTTTAGACTTCTAATGCAAAAATGTTCACATGCAAAACAAGAACAAAGGTAAGGCAGGATGGAAGATGGGATATGACACTAGTACAGGAGGAGGAGAGATGATAAACAGGTATTAAACAGGTTTTGCACTCATTTGCTTTAAGCAAAGTACTATCATGATGTAATCAAATCTGTTTACCGCATTTAGTTCTGATGTCAACATGGACTGAATGTACCATACACACACACACAAAAGAACATCAGTTGAAATTAGTTTGAATGTGCAAATGTGCTACATACTATTGATACTGAAGTGTTTAAAGTAATAAAATTAATCTTAAATGTTCTTAGTCACTTCTTTTGAGTTAGTGGATGAGATTGACAGCACTCTCATTCTGTGTTTAGCTGAGCATAAGGATTCACAACAGAACAAAGCAGCTAGCGCCGTTTTATCCAAATAAAACAGATTCTACATTCCACATTGCATCATTTCTCTATTCACTTTCAGTAGTCAAAGTCAATTGTACTTATGAAACACCTTTATAAAACAGTAAAACTTCAACCAAAGTGCAGTAGGATTACATAGCATAACATAACAGAGCAGATCTTAGGTGAAAAATTAAACTGTTCCAGAGGTTGGAAGCAGCCTGTTTTATCTTGGAACATGCAGGTGCATCTAGTTGGTTGACCTCAACGCTCTCATCGGGGCATGAAGATTTGACTCCCCTAAAAACACAATAAAATCTTAAGATGATTCCTGAAGCAGACAGGAAGCCAGTGAAGGGAGGTCAGTTCTGGTGTCATGTGATCATGCTTTTTTTTTCCCTTTAGAAGAGTCACATTTTGTACCAGCTGCAGATGTTAAAGATGAACTGCAGCTGGCTGTTGCATGCAGTATGCTTTTATACTTTTATAACCATACCCATATTTGTATATCATGACAATTGTCATAAAACTACACCTTGAACTTTGACGCTTATGTTAATGTGTCCATCACAATCTGAAGTAGTTGAAATTTGATGTATAAAGAAAAAAATTTGCAAATTGGAACACAGAGTTAAACTTGAATACTGTCTGTGTGCTCTTGGCTGCTCAGGTTTGTTTATAGTCAGGTGATGATGTATGCAGCATATCATGCGCTGCAGAGGATTGTGGGTCAGAATGGCCAGAGAAGCATGCTGGTTAGCATAGTGCAAAATGTTACCAGATGTACGAGGACATCCTGGTACTTTTGGCATACTGTATTTGACATACTATGCATTAGGACCCTTTAAATCTGTTTTTGACAAGCTAAGCAGTGTAGTAGTATGGGTACTGGAACATACTGAAAATCTGTCTATCAGCACCACTACAGCACATTCAGTGCAGTTTGCATGACCTCCTATTAAAGCACAAAACTCCCCTCAGGAAGTTAAAGAACCAACTGGGGATAAACCCTGTCGTCACTGGAAGCAGATGTTCTGCAGTCACTCAATATAGCAGCATCTGCAAAGGCTGTAATAGAATAGAATAGAATAGAATAGAATAGAATAGAACTTTATTGATCCCTTTGGTGCAAACCTCAGGGAAATTGTGAATTGTGGGGAATTGTGTGTGTAATATGAAGTGAAGTAGAATATTCTGTGAAACAAGGTATTAAAACATTATTTTACTTGCAGTTCACTCTCTCTATTGATTCATGGTGTTTACTTCGCAACAGAATTTGAAATTTGGCAATTGCTACAAAGGAAATTAAAATAACAAACCAGTTTTCCTACTTTTTTCCAGTTGATTTTTAATGTTTTTTCAATTTTGGTTTTTGGAAGAGACACGAAAAAAACACCTTGTATTCTTGTTTGTTTCACTTTTGGTATTTGAGATTATACTTTAGTATCATGGCAACTTTCATATCTATCATTTATCCTTTTCTGTTTTCTCAATGTTTCCAATCGAGCTCTGCTGAAGTTGTAAATACTCATATACTGTCCATCATAGAAAGAGTATCTTGGAGTTGCTTACTGTACACTTGATGTCCAAAAGTTTCAATTTGCTCAACTTGGACATTTCAAGCCTGAATCAAACACAATGTTAGCTCTGTAGTTAAGACAGAATATCTTGTTTTTACTGAAAATATAAATTAGCTTGAAAAATTTGCTCCACATAGCTGCAGGTCATGTAAGTGCTTAGCATGTCTGAAAAATCTAGAAAACAAGACATGCAACAAAAAAGACAAATCCTCTGATAATTGTGCATTAATTTGCACTGAAGATCTTATATATAAAGACGCAGTGTGAGATGCCACCAAATGGCAATTTCTCTGTCTTACTGGGGAGCTCTTTAGTCTTTCACAGTGTCCAGGGCCCTTCAGTGACAGAGGACAGTCTCTCGATGGGTATTCATGCAGAAGGGCCGAGGTGTGAAGGTTTGGTGGAGGTTTTGGGGTCAGTGGGTCACATAGACATGCAGGACCGTTATGGGACTGTAGTGCGGGACGAAGACCAGTAGAGGGGCTTTGACATGGACACGTGGACACGGCATGTGGGACACGTCTGTTTCTTCCATAGCCACTGCTCCATGCACTGAAACACATTTTGAACGACATTGTTACCTTGACTGGGGGGGATTTAACGAACAAACATTATAAAAGAATAAATTAGCATTCATAAAAATACTGATTGAAGTGGACATTTTAGACAGATTTGGCCTGTTTTCTGGTTAATCTGTAAATTAACACTTCTATTGTGATTTTACAAGATATTATTATAAAATCTATAAAATAATAGTAAATTGTTTTAAAAATTTTCAGTTAAAACATTGTCATTAAAGCACAGGTGTTGATTTTCTTAATTAATGCCAGGATGTAATTTCCAGAATGCCGATCTACTATTAGCACATGAAGACTGGGATCAACACTGACCGCTCATTGGGAGGACACTAGTCTTACTCTATTATACATTCACTGCATTGTTGAAGGAGCCCAACTATTTCAAGTCCAAGCAGTTTCCTGCTTTTAAAAAGTTGTAAAACAGCTAAAATCTAAAGTAGGTTAATTTAAATATAAAGAATTGTTTCCTTGGTAATTTACTGACTCTTTGTTTTCTCTGTCACTACACAAAACCTTAACACTTACTCAAGTGAACACAAAACACTTGAACTTCACTTGAGCATCATGAAATAAATCAAGATTACACAAGTCATCCTACAAGTCCTCAGTACAGTCTATAAAGTGACTTAAAACCATAAAGACAAAGATGCAACCAAATCACAGTAAACAAAGTCATTACATCCACTGCATGACACACAAAATGAAATGACAATGTATTCTGCTGAAATGCTATTTAAATATACTTCTTGTGTGATATTTAAAACCATGTAATGAATGTAACCATGAAGATATTGACTAATTTCCCACCTAGTAACAAGCTGTGAGTCACAAAGTACCATGATTGCACATAAACTGTTCAAGCAAATATTTTTTAAACCCATTCATAACATAGTATTATAAAGAGGCACACATTGTTTGCTAGTGGAAAAGTGGTTTTAATCTGGCAAGTGTAAATAAACTCTATTATAATCAGGAAATTTCAAGTACCAGTAATTCTTTGAACATATACACTCAAAATAATGAGACCTGTAAACAACACTACAAATCTAAAGCTTTTTCAGACACTTTAAATGTTTTTATTTAATAATTCTGTTTTAGAAATCCTCCTAAATTTGGCTTTTGTCTCTGAAGAAAAAAAGGTTGTAATGACTCCAAAGCTGACACAGTGATGGCTTCCAACAGGACACTTTTAAAGGATCAGGTCAAACACAGTAAAGGCCCTGAGAGTTGAACACTTGAATGTCATGGCATACGGTTGTAAATATTTAGGAGAGAATCCTGATGTTTGGCCAGCGGCTGCAAATCTCCCATCTGTCCAGAGATGTACGACCTCCATCCACAGAGTGATATCAGCGATGCCTCCGCAGGGACAGTTGGCGACGGAATGTGTACTGCTCTTTTTCCTTGGAAATTGGTTCATCTGCAGACTTCCTCCTCTCATCCGAACGCCTCCTCACTGGGAAAGCTGCTGCCTCACCGCCGCTGCTGCTGCTGCTGCTGCGGGGTTGACTCGGCTCTAACCTCCAAGCCGCCTTCAGCACCCACCAAACGGAGACATCATGATCAGAGAGTGTCCAGTGCAGCTGCCTTAGCTGTCAGAGTGCACCATGCTGCTACAGAGACTGTTTTCATACCAATTCACTTCATGCATGTCCAGGAATGAGCTGCCTTCATGCACCACAGATCTGATATGTGACATGCTGGGATTGGAGAGAACAGAGTAGAGAAGAGACATGCAATTCATCTGAACTACACAAGTTTTCTTACCTCTTTGTGGAAGCGGTGTGTACAGTTAAACTCTTGGACTCCTGTTCCATTTTTACGCAGTTCTTCATGACAGATCAGGCACAACTTGTCATTATCATTCTGTAAAACAAAACAGTCTGCTAAGTTTTCTCATTCAAAGTCTGACCAAGAAAGTCATATTTGTGTGTGACGCATAGTTACAATATTCATTTAAACATAATTCCCTTTGCTTGCTCAAAAATCTCCAAAGGGCAACTGACCAGCATAGATCACAAATTCTCTGCTGCCTAATGTCCCATCACAAACTACTGCTGGTATATGCTTGTATGTGCTCAGCCAATACAGTTTAAACCATGCTAAGTAGAAAATAATTTGCATTTGTAACTCTAAAAAATCTTTGTAAACCACTCTTGTGAAAACCAAATGTGAATAACACATGTTTACATTTATCTTAGAATTGTTCCATAATTTAATCCCAATTTCTAAAGCATTTTGTACAGTGTTCTTACCTATATCTGTCAGGTCATATTTACTCTCTCATATTGAAAAAAAAACACATATTTTTTGTGTTATTTTCTATAATACAGTTTCATAATATTGGACTTGGATGATGATAGTAACCAGTTCTTAGTAGTAAATAGTGGGAAGTGAGTGAATTATGTAAGCGTTTGGGTTATGTCATTGAGTTCACACCAGTCTGTGATCCTGTCAGCACATTAAGGTAAAACATCTTTTAACACTCTCTAAGTGCGCCTTAATCTTTAAAGATGTCGTAATACCTTACTGGAGAAAGACAGTGGACTGAGCCTGCAGTTAACTGGATAATCTATAACACACTGGACTTGAAAAAAACACAAACTAGTTTTATTTTAATTTACTTTATGGCACTTCTGCTCACCAGAGACATGGTCCTTTTATCAGCAAGGGAAAGCCTCTTCTCCAGTGACTCAGTGAGCTCTGGGATAGTGGTGATGCGGTTCTCTGGGATGCACGTCTTGGAGCGGCTGTTGTCGTCTGAGGAGACCCGTCGAGCTCTCGGGTGAGGCCTGACCTCTGCCTTCTCCTCCCTGGGTTTGATGTGGCTGGGAGTGGGAGCCATGGTGGCTGCATGGAACTTGTTTAGCTTCATGGCATCCAACTGTGACTGAGGATCACACAGAGAAGGATGATAGTGTCATCACACAGCAACAGCTGACTGGCCCAGAGTGTCTAATGTTGTATTTGCATGTTTGAAAACGTGCAGATCAGCAGTGAGAGGATGAAGCAGAGAGACGACCACGTTGAGCTTTTTGTCTGTGAATGGGGTTAATCTCTCACACACTAATATCCTTAAGTAACATGTTAGCAAATCACCCTCCTAATTATAGTTTACTCCTCAACTTAGACCCGGCAGTTGTTAGACTGTTTACACAGCAGGGATAAGCTTATAATTAAATTGTTGCAAAACAGGTATGTTGAAGGTAAATATTGCACTTTTGAAAATGTCCATATATTAATCACTAACTGCTGAACCTGTGACTGCACTGGTGTCGTTCTGGATAGCTTACATTAAATATTTAGGAATTCAAAGTAAGGAAAAGCTCAGTGGTTTGAAGCATACTGTGCAGGAACTGCTTTGAGTGTATTTGGACCAAAAATTTAAATATTAAAAACTAGGACGCGCATGTTATGTCAGTGTCTTTATATGAATCCCCACCATTTGTGCTTTGGTTTTAACTGTACTGCCCTTTATGTGCATTTTCAAATTATCTAGAAAACAATGCATCTGAATTTATAACCACACTGGATAGAAAAAAAGCTTATGATTTTACATGGTTTTTTAAAATGATTATTTTACAAATAGTTTTTCTAAAATTTTGAAATAGTAAAAAATATGAATAAAATTACAAAAATGTGCCGTTAATTTACATGTCTAATTAAAATAACACTAAAACCTGTAACTGTAAATAACTGTAAAATGTTCACTTTTGTAAAGGACTTTTTTTTTGTTTTTTTTTACATAAAAAGACATACTTGGCAGTTTATAATAGTTTCACAGATGTTTCTGTTTTTTTTGTTTTTAAAAAAAAAAATAATTATACTGTCAAATTCAAACTCAATACCATAAATATATTTCTAAAATTAGATACAATTAGGAGCAAATGTTTATTAAATAGGAGCAGAAGTTTTTAACAAGAAAATGATGAATATATTTATCTATGTACATATATGTGTGTGTGTAAGTAAAATGTAATTGTTTTTACACAGGTAAATGTCTTTTATTAAAAATATTAAAGCTAAAATATACACAGGGTATTTTGTTTCATTGTGGAATGTACTGTGTTTTTACAAGGTGATTAATTTCCACTATTTTACAGAAATTTCTTGGTGCTCCAGTTGTCAGAATATTTTCTGTTCGTCGTTGTTGTTGTTGTTGTTGTTGTTGTTGTTGTTACAGTTTAGTGATTGAGATTGCATTGTGTGGTTTTCTCCTCCTCTGGATCACTTGCTAAAGTTGATCAGTGGTGGCAGAAGCACAGATTTTCAACCCAACCCCATTGTTTGGGTCATCACTGCTTTGCTTGATGCCATGTAGAAGCTAATTTATAGGTGCACTGGCATTATTATAATGCTGTCTGGCTGCTTTAGTGAGATGACAGCGGGCTCAGAATGTTTGACTCCTATAGATAAAAACTCACGACAGAGTAAGTAAGATGCATTATAAAGGAAGACTTGTTAATGAGAAAATCCTGAAAATAAATCAATGGGAGAATCCTTTATTGCTGGAAATGTGAGTTTTATGACACAAGTCCTTTCATTCCCCCCAAAAAGCCAATTGTCTGCTTTGTAGAACCAGATCAGAAATATCCTGCCCATTGTGTTGTTGCACTGACCAACATGGTGTCATGAAACTTTGTGTGTGTGTGTGTGTGTGGTAGAAGTACAATCTGTGGAGGGAAACATTTATTTTGGTGAAAAGTCTCCAAACTTTTGAACTTGCAGCTTTGGCTTTCTCCCATTTCTTTAGACAGGGATGTAGCCTTGCTAGTCTGAAGTGGCAACCTCCAAACATCCTCCATGGAGAAGGTGGCTTCTATTTGTATAAGACTGCTGGCATGCAACAATCCACAGTTTTAAATCGTGAGATATGTTTATAAGAATATAATATAAATAATATAAACCTCCTTACACATCACCATAAAAATAGGACAAAGACCAGACTCACAACCAGGTCTGCATTCATTTCAAAACTATTCTGTTGACCAGAGTGATGCTGTGAACCGACTCCAAGTCAGCATGTGGCAGGGTTTGATCCCTGATGTGAAGTAACAGAGAAAACTTAAGACCAGTCATGAGTAGTCAGACACACAAATGATCTCATGTGACCTCTTGAAACTAGTTTTGTCACTGAAAGCATCACCAATTCTGTCATTCACAGACGCTCTGTTGAAATATTACATGCAGTACAGAAAGTGTTCCGCTTTTTTTCTGTTGGGCAGCACGGATATATTAGCAGCTTTAAACAGCATATTCAACTGTGCATCTTTGTGCGTTTTTAATTGTGTGCTGGGGGAGCGTCATATACTTGTGAATCAACACACATTATTGATGTGAAATGGGGGAAGTGAAATCACAGGTCGGGACAGCCTATTTCTAAACACTATCACAGACCTACAAAGCCTGGATAGAGGTTTTACAGGCATTAAATAACTCTGAAATATACACAAATTCATGCTTTGGTCCTTTTTTTTTTAGCTTTATTACTTGAATATGCAGTATATACCTTTTTTAAATATTCAATGATGACATACTGGATGTTGATTAACAAAGGTACGGACAGTATTTTTTTTGTAAATTTATCTTTAAATGTGGATTTACGTAAGTGTTTTACATAAGTTTAAAAGTGTGGTTCAAGCTTGGGCAGGCAGGATGTAGAGAAACCATCAGAGAGTAGGAGAAATGTTTAGTTAAAAGTGTTTATATATCAGTGCAAACATTAATCAAACACTGAGCAGCCGTGAAAAGTCACATGCATGGAATTATTAGTCCTTACCACAGTCGGGAGGGATGCTCTTCGATCAGCTTGTGCTTTTGCAGGCCTCCTGAAGCTGCGTTTTCTCTCTCTGTTGTGTCCACTTTCTGCTCCATGACCCCAGTAGCTACTCATCCACTTTGTGAAGTTACCATCATCATCTTCGTCATTGTCCATAATGATAGCAGGCAGTAACCTGAGAGACATGATGAAGCTGTGCAGGGAGCCTCCTGGTGCAGCTAGTCCTGGTGCAACAGATGAAAGTGTGATCCTGCCTCGGTGGTACTGAGGGAAGAGACAGCACTGAGCTGACCTACTAAGTCTCTACTACACAATGCTGTCCCACAAGGCAAAGGTAGCTTACTTCAATTAGAGTCCTCTGCTGCCTCAAGCATTGTTGCTGTAGCTGTGTTATTCTCGGAAGAGCCAAAAATAAACTGCAGAGCTTTTGCCCAAGTCTTTAAATAAGTGAATCCGCTGTAATCTGTTTACCGTCGCTGGCAGAAAGTAAAAATGGAGGTGATGGGAACAAACAGGGAGGCGGGAAACATAGAGGAGCAGCTCGTGCTTTGGCTCCACAGCTTTTAATCTTTCCATTACAGTCATGGGCCTGGGGGTAGACAACTGAAACTCCAATTTCCCCATACTTTCCACTTGCCAAGTACATCAAACCTGTCAATAATTATGGAGCGCAGGCAGCTCTGTCTGCTGCTGTGTGCTGGGAGCCCGAGGCTTCTGCAGCAATGGACAGACAGGATGGGAGCATATCTGTTCATATTACACTGGATGCTAGTGAGACATATTCTTTTTTTCCATGTTTTTAGTTATTTATTGTGCTTCTTAATCAAATATATAAAGTCAACAGTTCTTATAGACGAGAAATCCAACTGTATAATACATTATCAGCAAATAGAAAAGCAACATTTTTTTGACAAAAACCATTACAAGCACATTTTGTACGTCAGAAGTGGAAAGTATGTGAGTCAGTTTAGTACTTAAGTACAGTTCTAATGTATTTTTTTCTTTACTTGAGTGGTTAAGTGTTATGCTACTTTCTTTAAAGCAGCAGAAGTTGAGCCAAAGTGCTTTCTGTTAGAGAAATAAGACTGACGAAGCAAATATACCCAATTCTTTTATTTATTTATTTTTTCATTTTTGCATCATCCCCTTTGTTGTTCTAACACTGCAAATTTCCCCACTGTGGGATTAATTAATAGCTTATCTTATTTTATCTTTTCTTATAGTATCTAAAGCATCAAGGTTAAGAGTTCACAATACATTGCTACAGTTAAAACCTCTACTATATTTTTGTTTTTAGACAAATACTGGTCAGAGCAGATTGTTGCTTGTAGACAAGTTTTTAGATGAGACATGCAGAGTAAAGTGATTTTGATGAAACATCACAATTTTACGTTTAGATTTTGCATCGTTTTTACAGTTTCTGGTTCTGATAAATGGTGTCAATTTGGAGATTTAAAAAATAAATAAATAAATAAATAAAATGCCATTTACATGCCATGAAATACATGAAGTGTAATACATTAAATTATGCCACCAGATAGTATGTAAAATTACCTAAATCTGACTAAGAAACAAATGATATCTTAACTTAGTTTGCATATGCACACACATAAAACATGGCAATGATGTATAAACTACAATGCAAATGTTAGAAAAGATGCATTTCAGATCAGAAACATTGCTTGTGTGCATTAGTTAGTGCACAAAGAGAAATTATACAAAATGATGATCAGTTTCAGGAAGATGGAAGTAAAATTTAAATTTTTACAAACTGAAATGGCGGTAAGAATCTCAGAAACTTGAGTCTTTAAGAGGAAGGATAATCTGGGCAGGTACTGTTATGAGACATTCATGCTGCTTTGTCATGTAACCTCCGATCACTGCTGAGAACAAGATTACAGTAAGCTGCTGTTATTCCAAAGAGGAGACTCAATTAAGGTAAACTCTGATGACAAACTACCAAGAAACAAAGAAAAAAACAAAGGAAAGGACTCTTTATGCATGCCTATGCTGAAATATAAAAATAACTTCCATGCAAATAATTTTATTTTTTGAGTTACTGGTAAATACTCCAGCATTTAGATTACTGCAGGGATTGTGCTACAAATATCATTTAAGCAATTAAAATCTTAACAGCGGTTGTACATTGCAGTATAATACTGTGCTTTATTTGTGTGTCTGTATCAAAAAGAGATTTTTTCATTTGCAAATGCTCGATGAAAAAAAAATATACTAAAGTATTGCAAAAATACTTAGTGGAGCAAGGAAATAACAAACAAACTGCAGAAATAAAACAAAATTCAATGAAGTTCCGTTAATCTCATTAAATTATCCAACTGGAATCATTTGTTGTGTTCTCTTCGGTGATCTGCAAACATTTTCCAAGTACCTGCTCCCTTTCTCCACACGCCACCCTGCATTACGAGAGCACAGACACGCCTCAGTGCTCACAGGTTACCAAACACCTTGTGGCAGCAGCTAAAACTAAGCCAAGCAGCGCTAACAATAGCAGACACATTTTACAGGAATAACAGATGAAGTCAAGAGTAGGTAGAAGATCAGACACTGGTTGTGACCTTTGTGCCTCCTTGCCTTTGTAAATAATAATAGCAGCTCAATTACAGAACAGTGTTTCACTATACAGTCCACACAAGTAGTGTACAAGGTCATTGTGTCTCATCACGTGTTTTGGTTTAGTGGCAAAATTGATTTTATGGCTTTTCAAAACAAGAATGGGAGCAGTGATTTCTTTTATGCTGCTTTGCAATCAAAATGCACTCAGTTTCTACATATTTTACTCTTAACTTAATGAAAATGATGAGTTAAGATGTTTATATTTAGCATGAAAATATTACTTTTAAATTTGATGCAGTTCCAAGAACAGAAAGAAACAACAGGCAGCCGATTGTGTAAATAAGTTACAAGTTACCGGTAAAATAACTTTCAGCATGTCCTTTTTTACAACATTTCTTCCAGGAACAGTGTCCTATTAAAGGTGTGTGTTACTATGAGGCTCCGCATGGCACAGGCTTCCCTCTAACCAGCTGAATACAGTTGACTTTGAAAACTGTTCAGTGCTGGTTGCTGTTTGAGGACACATGGCCCTGGGCTTAAATTGAGCAGTCAGGCTGCAGCACTGTGCAGACAGACCCGCACTGAGCTCTGAAATGGAACAGAGAGGAGACTGGACCTGGAAAACATACAAACAGACACACAAGCACAGGATTAATGCACATTGATCAAGATAGAAATGTTGCACAATTTGAAAGACTGCATATTAATAACAGCACTGAAGATTTTACATAATGTAATTTAACAAACAAGACTGTGTATGTGCAGAGGTAAACACACAGCATGTTTAAGGGATTATTTCTGTACAGTGCAGCAGTGGGCAAACTGTAGGTGGCTGTAGAAAGAGTCAGCAGCACTGCCGCCTGGTGGCTGCAGCGAAACCACACATTACTTTGGTACGCTTTTAAAAATCTATAATTTTTCCATTTTATTTTACAGATTTTTTACAGTGTTTTCAAAATACACAAATATATCAATAAAACTATAGAAAATGCTGTGATTGTACATGTCTAATGTAAAAATTACATCAAAAACATGCAAGTTTGAATAACCAGAACAGTTCATACGCCAGATCTTCCATCATTTGATATGGTGATACATGCAGATTTTTATTTTTACTTTTTATAATAATTTTATTTTGTATCAAGAAAAAAAAAGTAGAATGAAATTGTATTTTTTTCCCCCCACATGTTTCTGTTTGTTTTAGTAATACTTTAGGGCATTTTGACACAATTCCTGTTGTGTTGTCCTGAATGTGCTATAGAAAAAATGGAAAAAAGCAAAAATAAAAACAAACTTGACTTAACAATTTTACCTTAACTATAGTTCATGCTTACAATATTTTTATTGAGTTGATTTTATTCATATTATTTGTCTAATTTGACATTTGAGTTATTCTAAAACACTTTCTAACTTTATTTCCAAACGTGCCATTCATATAAAGTCATAATTATTATTAGTAGCAGTAGTAGTATTAGTATTATTATTACAATTAATTAAATTGTAAAGGTAGTTGGTTAGGGTTAGGGTTCCAGGACATGCCTGCTACGTTCTTTGTCGGCCCAACTCATATTTCATTTGGTCTGATGTTTGGACTACAAACTTCCACTGGTACACTACAAATACCATACAGCCCCGGAGCAGCTCTGCCGGTATCCCATGATTCCTCGGGGCCTGTGACCTCTCAGAGCACGGGAAGAAGTAGCGGAGCTCTCACGCTGTCTGCTGCTGGAGGTGCTGGCTGGCTAACCATCGCTCAGTTGTACATCATGGCTGCTTCAAAGCCAGTCGAGCCGCAGTCCGGGACTGGACTACCCCGCTGGCAGCTGGCACTGTTAGTCGGGACCCCCATAGTGCTGGGAGTGGGAGCGGTGTACCTGTGGAACCGCAGCAGGACGAAGGAACGGAAAGGGACCGGGGAGCGGAAAACTCCAGAAGGCAGCGCCAGCCCCGTGCAGGGCCAAGACGGCGCAGCCCGCGCCAGCCGAGAGCAGGAGAACATGGTAACTGTCTCCCAGAGCCTCCTCCAGCCTCGGAGGTTAATGTAGCCGTCCCCACATTAGCATGATGATTCTCAGTGCGATGGCCACACTGCAGGGACTAAACGTGTCATTGCTGTAAAAATACAGTCAAGGACACCAACCGTTACCGTCAGTGACAGCTACCTTCAGCAGAGCGAGGCCGCCAGCAACCGGTTCGTCGCTGCTGGATTAGCTCAAGTTAGCTGCTAGTTAGCCATCTCTCATGCTAACGGTATCAGCGCAGCCAGGTTGACCAGTGTGGTGCAGATGTCTGACAGCCCTCGCCTGTAAATCATTCATTTTTTTTTAACATAAACTGTTACTAGTATATTCTGAAATTTAAAAATAATTCCCAACTGCATAGGAAGAATGTATTCAGCCGAGGTTAGCATAGCTGTGTAAATGTTATGTTTTGGTGGCTATGCTGGCCGGCTAACGCAGTTTTCTTAGAAAGTCAGGTTGGGCGGGGATGGCTGTCATTTGAATCCGACTGTTTTACGCAGAGACAGTTTTATAACAGCCCACAGGTGGCTGTCAACTCTTTCACTTTCTACTGCCATGCATGGACCCTGTGTAGTTTACAACATACGTAGC